GTTGGCGTGTGGCCAAGGTGCATACGCGAGAATGAGTAGCACGATGTGTGTTGAATTGAACAACAATCTTTTTTAATTCTATGTAATTATGCCACCATTACATGTTTTTTTTTAAAATACAATTTAACAAGTGCCATTTTTTTAATTAAAAAGCAAAATTTGCAGGTATCAGTTTTAATCGGCGGGATGATTTAATTTCAATTCATTAAAATGGGTAAAAATAATTTGAGACACTGGCATTTTGCGTTACAAGCATGATCAATTAATAATTCAGAATATTTTCTTTCATGAAATATGAACATATCAGAAGTCAGTGAATGTCACAGAAGAAATTTTGACTTTGGAGGTTTTGTTGTGGTCACCAAAGAAACAAAAGCAAGATCAACAGACTAGATCACCTTGATAAACATACAATAAGGCTTCATTTCAATGTCAAAGGAGTCGGAGGGGGAAAAAAAGGATCCAGACGGACCAGCAAGTTCCCTGCACTTGTATTTACCCCAGTTGGCTGCTCCAGCGCACTCCGTCTCTCCTCCTCCTCCACGCTCTTGCAGCAGCTCTGACATATCCACAGAGGCACCTCTCCCAGCAGGGACTGGGACAGCGAAGGCACCGAATCAGCCAGCTTACGCCCTGGCGCCTCCCGCAATAAGGCCTGGGAGAGTGCGGGCACGGCGTCAGCCAGTTTGGTGCCATGTGCCCCGGGGAGCCCGTTCACAAAGTTCGCCCCCCAGTCCTTGAATTCCCGGTGGCACAGGAGGCAGCAGGTATGCATCGGCTAAGGACAAAAAAGGTTACCCATTTTAATTAATAGCACACAATTAGGGGAGCTGTCAGACTGCAACATGGGACACTTCACTTTCTTGGATAATTACCAAAACAGAACATAACATGAAATAACAGGGTGTGTTGCCAGACGTAGGCAGTTAACAATAGTTTAAATTTGACTATAGCCAACACTGAAGAGGTCATTTTTTTATTGAGTAAGATCATGTTTGTATTACATTATCGCAGGTAAAACTACAGATGTTATGATGTAATAACTCCTCACCACAATGCTATTATTTATTGTTTCTTATCTAATTCATAAAAATACTTAAGTAATATGGCTTGGAATCGCTGTATGACTTTGGGAGATAATCTTTACTTTCTCCAATTAGCCACAAAAGTAGGTACTGTACACATACAACGCCAGCCACGTACTGAAAATTTTGACTTTACAAAGCTTATGCTCCTACACAAGCATGGGGAGAATATACAAACTCTGTACAGACGCATCTGTGCCAGACTATTCTGATGTCTGGCACAGCTAAATGAATGATTAAAAAGAAGATTAAATGCAAATTCGGTCAAATTTGCACCCGGTGTTATACGTCACAACACTGAGCCAGATTTTCTACATCTGTCTAACAGGGGCACTCATATCTACGGACAATGTTTCCTAAACTTTATGGAGCCAAAGAACGACACCAAACAGAAATAAGAATGTATAGTCTCAGTGTGAAATGAAACACAAAGATGATCTATGTATGTGCAGCCACGGAGGACTTACTCTGTTATATAAATTATAACAGGTGGATACATCGATTTACGTGTGTGTACACACACACACACACACACACACACACACACACACACACACACACACACACACACACACACAAATCTTACCAACCAAAATAAAGCATCTTTCCTTTCCGATTTGAAAAATGCCTTGTACTCATTGCATTGAAAATGCCGCTTAAGAATCTGATTTGTTGGTCAACCCTATCGTAAATGTAAATAAAAGTAATCCATTTTACACACACACATCATTAGAAGGTTATTCCAGGGAGTCGAACTACAATATACTGTAACTCTATTTTCCCATGCTTGCCTTCAAATGTTATTACTCATTAGCAAGCGGGCAAGTTCAGTGGCGCCAGGTAAGGCGAGTGAGCTTGACAGATGTCTCGTCTAAAGCGTGCCATCACGAATGTTTACCATTAGGTTCCTTGTTCCCCATCAAATTTGCATTCGTTCTATATTCTTGCACCATGCATTTCAGCGAGTGAAGGTGGATTAAAAACAATGGCTGCGGGTGCCTCAGACTCGACTAAAATGTCGAGTGTTGGCAACGCTGTTACAAAGCCGTTATGCATCGGCGCTAGCTAGCCTGATTAGCTCGTGTCTTGGGTAGCCGCCGTTTCCTGTAGTGCCCGCAAAGGGAAGGTAGTAAAGCACGTTTGCGTGCTAGCCCGCCGATAGCACAGCTAGCCTTGGGGCTAACACGAGCGGGGGCGGTTGGTCTGTTGTGCGTTTATCGTTGCAAACGGGACGACCTGTCTGAAGCACAATGTCACCTGTCTGCCAGGCCAGATGGGCTTTGCATGACCACGATACCAAGCAGTGGAGCACAGCTACTTGAAATGAAACACGATTGCTTGAATTGCTTGTCGGACTCTTAACGTTCCATCCACTATTATTGCGTTCACGTAGGCGATAGCGTTTAAGCCAGTCAAATGATTATAATATACGATCCAGCTTTTTGGGAGGAACTGTTTTCATTATCCATACTGTATGGTGGCTGGGCAAGGAGGGTCTGGCCGTGGTCGAATCAGCCTTGATTGTGAGATGGTTAAGTAGCTTGCCTGGTTCGCCCTGGTGGTGGTCAGCCTCTCCACTCCAGCATCTCCGCCGCCGCCAGTTGCATCGCCAGGAGAGACTGCATTCTTCGGTGCGGTCTGCTGTCCGGGTACAAGCTCCTTCTGAGCGACGCCCTGCTGTTTGCTTTTCTTCCTTGCCATCGCGATGGGGTCCGCAAAGCGCTTTGGCCAAGTTTGCACCACTTTCGTGAATTCCAAGTGCACACTTAGGTTTATTGTCGGACCACAAAATATTCTCTCTCTCCTCCAGTCAAGACAACAGTCAATATGGCGGAGGACTGGTCTGGCACACTCGGGAGTTCATAGGTTACAGATACTGCTGGCAAGGCGGCTTCGCCTTCATACAGGAACTACAGCTGAAGTCGACGAGGGCATTGAAGCTAGTGCCGCCATATTTGCTAAGGGCAAAAATCTGCCGTTCCTGAAAATATAAATGAGATATTATACAATCAACTTTTATTTCGTTCGAAGTTTTAGTTTTAAGGCACACCGTTCCATTTATATATTTAATTAATTCAAGATGTTAATGGCAATATTAAAATGCACACAATTGATTTCGAAGGGGGAAAAGACTGCGTTGAAAATTGGTTTGAGTTCAACCATGGGCGTCATTAGGCCTATTTTAGGGAGGCTTCAGCCTCCCTAAAAATGTCTTTAGCCCCCCTAAATAATTTCATTGCATTATTTTAAAAAAAGTATTATTTATTTTTCCTGTACTTTTGCTAATATATTGCATCAAATTCAATGTAATGTGGCCATTTTAAATTATATTTCGATAACCTGCCATTATTGTAATGTTAAATCTCCCAGGTTTCCTGAACGCAACAGGTGTTGCGTTTGCATTTGACGTGTCTGTCACCATCGCCACATCAAATGCTAACGCAACAACTGACAGTTCATTGCCGAAAGTCAGGTTGAGTCGACAGCATGGATATTCGACAGTTTTTTAGAAAGGTAAATTAAGTATTCAATGCATTTTGAGGCAACACCTATTGAGATTTTGGCCTATATAAAATAAATAAATAAATATAAAATAAATACATGAATCAGGCTAAAGACGCACAGAGAGTGAGCCGGGGGGGAGCTCTGCTGGACAGGTGAGTCTATCAGATCTCAAGGCTAATTTTACTTGCAAGGCTGTTCCCAAAATGCAATCGGAGCTTACAGTAAGTATTGAGCAGCAAACTTGTGTTTTTCCAAAGTGATGAAGCTTTTGCATCTCATTGTACTAACTTAAATTGCATATCACGGCAGACATCTCAAAATACATTGTCTTCTGGCGGCTAAGCATATATTAATACATTTTGGTAGAGAGGAATATAGGACTACTGTCATATAGGTTATGTTATCGGGCATCCTTCTAATTCCCTTGAACAACCAAGATTGAACTTTTGAACTCTTTATAATTTCTATTATCTAGTCCAGTTAAAGTCCAGGGGAGGAAGCCCCATCATAGTAAAGAGGATACTAATGTGATGTGTGTAGTTCTTCATAGCCTCTTCATTTTGCTCTCAAAGTGCATGGAATTGATGGATTTTTAACAGAATGTAGAAAAAAAGTTCTCTCGGACGTTAATGGCAATGCACACAATTGATTTTGAGGGGGGAAAAGACTGCGTTGAAAACTGGTTTGAATTCAGCCATACTTTATTCAACATGTAAACAACGTTTACATGTTTGATTTGAAAAAAAAACTACGAATGAAGCAGAAAAAAATGGCTGTTAACGTTTACATAAGTGGCCCACTCATTGTATTTATAACCACTGTTTTGTGTGTGAGTTTGATCGTGACACAGACTCACAGTGCCATTATTAATATACTGTACACAAGGGGGAAAACAATATGCTGTTACACGGTGTTATTAATACAGTATAATAATAATGACGTTAGCTCATTATTTATTTAAAAGGGGAGGGCGATGGAGTGGGCGCGACGATGAAGTTTTCGTTGCCTCTGAATGCATTCAAGACATTGCAAAAATCGTGCAATCGCCTACTTTGACAGAAAAACCGCACCATAAAATGGAATTTTCTATAAATTATTTTCCTGAACTTTTATGTTTAACATATCGTTTCCAAAAATATAATTTATTCTGGTAAGCACTGGTTTAGTACATACAGGACTTCATGTTCACCAAAGAGGACGACAGCGTCTTTTTGCACTAAAACTTTGAGAAATAGGCATATATGTGTATAAATTAAGTAAAGTAAGCTAACAAGTTACATTTATGTAGTTATTTGTGAAAAATAATGAACCAATACGGGTATTTTTTTTTTTGTGCAGAGTTTTAGATTTCCGAGTTTAGAATGAACCATGAAGGCAGCACCAATGTGGTGCTCAGTCACTGGATTGAGGACGTTGCACACTCAGTTGGACTGCAAGTGTTTCACCCGTTTTTGGCTACTGACTCTTTCACCTTGTTCTTTTGAACAAAAAAAAAAACAGAATGGAAGGGTCGATTTGCAACATCCAAGTGCTTCTTCGTGCTGCTGAGTTTCTGGAGAGGAGAGAGCGAGGTAAGTGTCTATTTATGCACAACAAACGTCAGCATACGCGGCGAAGTTGCTCATTGTCAAAACAACGAAACGAACTGTTAAGCGAGTGCAACTCTGGTGTGCAAACATACCGTGAAAGCGAAGGGACGAGAAATAGCATGCGAATTGGCTGATATGCATGATCAGCTATTTTGGAAGAACTCTCCATTTGACTCAGTGACCTACATATCACTCACATCATTGTGCTCAAAGGCGCCAATCTGCTCCACTTTCAAAATGAAGCCGTGCGGCTTTCCGCGATTTTACCTGCGAATGAAGACGTCCAAGGAAATGTTTGGCGCTGTTTAATTCATTGACAGTGGTTTGTTCGCATTTCAGGCCATTTTGACGTGAGCGTTTCCAATGTTAGCCTTTACAACAGTGGACATTTTGGGGCGGGTGATGGCGCCAAAATCAAACACAGCTGATGCCGATGGCAGGCTCGGTGGTTAATGTCTTTTCGTCTGTTTTAGACGATAAAATACATTGGTTTTGAAATGTAATTAATGGTTGGTTGTTTCACATCTATGACGGTTGGAAAAATACGGCTGCGTAGTGCGCAAGTGGCTAACACGTTTGCATCACACTCTTGAGGTTCGTGGTTCGAATCTCGGCCTTTCTTTGTGGAGTTTGCATGTTACCAAGTTTACGGATTCTTTCCTCGTTCTCAAATAATATTCATACAACCTACGATTTGATCAAAAAAGTGCAAAGATAAATGTAAAATATGACACATTGAACTACTCTTAACACAAATATTTATATATAATAATAATGATAATGCATTTTATTTAAAAGCGCCTTTCATGCCACCCAAGGACACTGTACAGACAATAAGAAAATACAATGTAAAAATTTGTAAGCGAGATATTATATAAAAAAACAGGACATAAAATCATAAAAACATAGGAAATGGAAGAGCTATGTGTTGTAGGCAATCCTGAACACAGATTTACGCGCTTATAACTGTATTAAACGATGTTTTTCCTGCCGATGGATTTTGTGTTTCATTGCATTCATAATATATATTTATTTTTAGTTCATTTTATTGTGTGTGTTATACAAAATATGTGACCAGGAACCAGGTCGGTCTGCGAAGAACGAAAATCCATGTATAATTGATGCCAATTGAAATGCATTGGGGCGGGAGGCATGGCACCAGCCTAAAAAAGTCCATATCGGTCAGGCCCTAGGTAAGAGTGAAAGTAAAGGAAGACCCCATGGCAACCGTACAACTCATGCAAAAGTATATTGTGCAAGGTATAATGCAATGTCAGCAGATTTTTTAGAAGGAGGGTGGCGCAGTGGTCAACTGGTTAGCATGTCGGCCTCACAGTGCAGAGGTGCACGGTTCAGCCTTCCTGTGTGGCGTTTGCATGTTCTCCCCGTCCCTGCATGGGTTTTCTGCGGGTATTGCAAAAACATGCACCATAGGTTAATGGAACACTCTGATGTGTCCCACGGTGTGTGAGTGAGAATGGTTGTTCGTCGATGTGTGCCCTGCGAATATTCGGCTGGCAACCAGTTTAGGGTGTACCCCGCCAACTGCCCGACGACGGCTGGGATAGGCTCCAGCACGCTCGCGACCGTCGTGAGGATAGGCAGATTGGAAAATGGATGGATGGATGGATGTTTAGCATTAGAATCGTAGTCAGAGGCTTTTTAAAGACTCTTTTACTCTCGTCAGCAGTTTAGGAGTTGGGCGGCAGTAGAATGGAGTACGTTTGATTTATTTGTGATGTGTTTTTCAGAGGCGGAACATGGCTATGCTTCACTTCTGCCTCCCAGTTTGACTCAGTCTGATAAGAGAAGCAAACAGAAGAGCAAGAAGATATCTGCTTGTGGCAATAGGTGAATGCATTACATCAGGGGTCCCCAACCGCCGGTCCGCGGACCGGTACCGGTCCGCAGGGCATTTGGTACCGGGCCGCACAGAAAGAACTTGCCTTAATTCCGTTTTATTTATTTCGGAATACGAAAGATTGCTGGAGATCGCAAATGACGGCGGCCTTAAAAGTACGTTCGAGACAACTGGATTAAAGTTATGGCTGAATATTCTGAGATCGCCACAGTAGCACTGTTGCTATTTCCGACATGCTACCTGTGTGAGGAGGGGGTTTTCTGCAGCAACGGCGACTAAAACAAAATTACGAAGTAGACTGGACACACTTGAGGTGTCATTGTCTCCTATTACCCCGAGATGGGACCGTCTGGTTGCAGAAAATCAAGCTCGGGGCTGTGGTGAGTCGTCATTGTCATGCACTTTGAATTTGCGTTGTATCGTATTTTGAAGGCATTAAACATTACCATAGCGATCGGAGTGTTGCGGCCAGATTAGACGCTCCTTGTGTTTATTATTATATTTCGAAAACACCACAGTTTCCATGCAGCTCATACCATATTATTTTGTTGTATTATTTCCGCCACACCTTAAATGCCGGTCCCTGAAAATATTGTCTGACATAAACCGGTCCGTGGGGCAAAAAAGGTTGGGGACCCCTGCATTACATAACTCACACAGCTGACAAGAGGGTGTGGTGTGCTTGTTCAGCTATAGTGTGACACTCATGACTGTCGTTTGTTTTAATTAACATGCCTTTTTCATGCTACAAATGCAGGTCCGTGCACAACGAGCTAGAGAAAAACAGGTGACTAATGTGGTTGTGTTTGGAAAAATGAGCCACATTTAAATGACTTGCAGTCATACATATTGTCGCTGTGCTTTGTAGACGAGCACAACTGAGGCAGTGCCTGGAGCAGCTCAAGAAGCAAGTTCCTCTGTCGTCGGACTCGATGAGGAACACCACACTCAACCTGCTTAGGCGAGCCCAGCTGCACATCAAGGTAAGAAAGTAATAACCACACAAACAATGAATTGTAATCTAACTCTAATGACAACTGTTGGGTTTTTCTTTCCACCTTAATGAAATTAGCTTTCAGGCAAGAAGCGTGGCGAAGCTACAGTGTCTTTCGGCTTGGTTGGATGTCATTGTTTTGTGGAAGTGGTCATAATGTTGTGTATGGTGGGTCTTTAAAGTTGGACTTCCCATGCGTGCTTTAAATATTTCAAAATGCTCAAATTTTCATGCTATATTTTTGAGGGCTTTTTTATTGCATACTGACAGTGGTTTATATTTCAGTTTGTAACTACATATGAGAGAGTCAAAATATTAGTGCAACACAGTGAAACCACAACCATATTGTAAACACATTTAATGAATACGTCTGATAGTGTTTATCAAAAAGAAACAGGATCATTTTTAAGGCAGAACGCGCTCTAGTCCATTTCAGTTGTCAGAGACAAATGACAACTTCCCTTCGATAGTTGGCCTTCACAGTTGTACCTTAATTTCTGCTCACATCTCCACTGACCTTGTGCATTTTTCATGACAGAAGCTGCAGGAGCAGGATGAGCGCGCAGAGCAGTTGAAGGGCCGTCTGCGCTGGGAGCAGAGGGAGCTACAGGTGCGTCTGGAGCAGCTGCAGCGAGGTGCTGAGCGTATGAGGAACGACAGCCAGGGCTCCACCATGTCGTCGGAGAGGTCGGACTCGGACAGAGGTGAGTTTTATCTCGCGGTAATAACCATTAAGATTTCATCCACACATATTTTGCCCTCTATTGGCTGAAACAAAGGCTGCGCAAGTGAAAATCAATACCTTTGTTCTTTTAATTTAAAACAAGACTTTTTTTGTCGTTCACGACGGTCGCACTGTCAGACTACCAAATAAATATCACTCTGTCTTGGGCCGGACAAGACGTCACACACGTCAACCGATCAGACCCCGCCCACAATCGCTTCTGTCAAGATTCAGTCCATGGGTACAGGTTCGTCGGGGAAGCATGTCAAAGTCATGTCAACGGAGGCATTATGTGCATGTGTGTTGTTTTTATGTTCAGAAAGAAAGAAAAAAGACGAGCGTTCGGGTTCTTGTATGGTGGGGAGAGGGCGGTATGGACTCTCTATTCTCCAAAAATAATTGAATTTGAATGAATTTGTTTCATGACACCATGTTTACTAGTCAGCTACTAGCTTTTTACAGTTCGCAAACATAGCATGAGTTGGAATGCGACGCATGCTTTTCAATAATTCTTCTTTTGTTCAAGTCACTTTTTAAATATTGTACACCGCATTGTGATATGGCAGACTTTGTTCGTGGTGGTCGTGAAGCGTCCCAGATGCCCCATGACCAGTCATTGAGTATGCCACACAGATAATTCAAAATCAGCGACGAGTCACTTCATTTGTCTGGGACACATCTGTCGGCTCAAAATCTGGCTCCATTCATGAAGTCCAACATCAACATAACCTTTATTTTTCCAAGGCATCGAATGTAATAAATAAATAAATAAATAACTTATGGCGTGTCAACCAACAAACATTTCACAAAATGCAGACCAGTGGAACCTCGATTAAACAAGCTAATTGGGTTAAGGCATCGTCCCTAAAAGCCGATGGTCCGTTTGGGCTGCACAAGATATAGAAAAAATATAATCTTTGCGATAATGACCCATGCCATATGCGTTTCGCAAAGGCATGCAATAAATTTTATATGGAATTGTATTAGATGTAACCATAAGTGCGCATCACCATCCTACAGGTGAACAGTATTTAGGGGCACTACTAACGTCATATAAACTACTCACAAAAGGTGAGGGATATTTGGCTTTCAGGTGAATTTTATGGAAAATGTAAAAAGGTCACGCGACAGTGATATCACATGAAAGTAGGGCATTTATGTAGAAGGATGCACTGGTGATTTCCTCATCTCAAACAATTAATGGAAACAAAAGTTAATGATGGTGGGTACACTACAACAAAAAATTTCAACGTGTCAATAACTCGTCATGTGCCTTTGAGCATCAATTGCACCTTGACCACGACATCTCATGCTGTTCACAAGTCGACCTAATGTCTGCTGAGGCATGGCAGCCCTTGAAAGGGCAGCCCTCAGATCATTTAGGTTCTGGAATGCAGTTTCGAGGTACACCAGTTTCCAAAAGCCGTTCCCTGGCGATGCGACCTCGATGAGCTGAAGCATTGTTGTCCATCAACAATCTGATACATGAACACATGTATCTGGCCCGTGGTGTTCATGTAGGGGCACAATCACTGGATGAATAATGTTATTCGGGTAGTATGGACTTGTCACTGTACCATTCACAAAGTGTAGGGCAGTTCTGTACCGACTGGACACACCTGACACACTGTAACACCGCCACCGCGAAAAGCTCATCTGGTGACAACAGTGGCTGATGCATCGCGCTCTCCTTGACACTTGATGTAAATGGTTTCGAATGGTCTGACGTGACACTTGAGTGCCTCTCACCTCCCTTAAACATGTCTGGAGTTGAGTGGCATTCATCATCCGGTTTCTCAGAGCATTGTTCACAATGTAGCAGTCATCAGCATGGGATGTGGCCAAAGAACATCCACTTCTACATCTTTCTGTGAGTCTTTCGATATCTCTGTTGCAACCTGCTGACGACACTATGTGACACTCTAAGCTCAGTGGCCACTTCCATCTGAGAACATCCTGTTTGAAGCATCACAATGATGAGGTACTGTTAATCCATTGTTAGGTGTCGTCTTGGTCTCATGATGTCAAAACATGAACAGCATGATAAGGACGACTGTTTAAACAGCAACTCTAATTGAACCTGGATATTTATTGGTCGATTCAAAGACCAAACACCTGTTGTGAATTTTGCCGCTCAGCTCCTCATAATAGAACAGCAACTTGTGCAAAAAGTACCGAAGCATTTAACAGTTGGACATGAGCATTCATAAGCTTCGAGAAGGTCACATTCAGTTCACCTGTACAAGTTTGAATGCATTTTAGGCTCGTCCTTAAATTTCACCCAAAAGCCAAATATCCCTAACCTCAGTCAACAACAGCTATAGATATGAATAGGTAGATACAACGTGCTGCTTTTGAGCTGCGTGTCTATGGCGAAGCCAAGTTAACATCCATGCTTTTTAACTTGTATTACGTTTGACGGGACGTTTGCCCCTGCCAGCATGGCTGCCACATTGGTTCAGCTTTTAGTCTCCTGTAAATTTATTTATGACCAGAGAGCAGTGTAAGGCAGAAACATGACTAGTCTCTGTCTGTTGATGGCACCCTAGCACCATTTACTGGCGCTGTGATTAACTCTGGACAGTTGTGGAACCAACAGACTTTGTAAGGTACTGTACAAAGGGGTTTTGAATGGGCTTGAGTAGACACGATTTTCATTGAATGCAGGGTACAGGACCTGAGGGGCGTTGTCGTTCTGGTCCTGGATCTCATATATATATATATATATATATACACACACACACACACACACACACACAAAATCACAATCGTATAATTTCCATGGCGTGCCTGATGATCTCTCTCTCTTAGGTTACAAAGGTGGGAATTGAAGGTATAGAAAATGGATGTATAGTTGATGCATCTGATGTCCTTGTTTGTCGACTCCCATTTTTGCTCCTTCCAGAGGATGTCGAGGTGGACGTGGAGAGCATCGTGTTCGATTGCATGGACTCTGAAGAGCCTTACATTGCATGCAGCGCTGTTGATCACTGTTACTCCACTATGGACAAAGCCTGGCTATGACAGCAGCTACTATCATTCTCATCGTCATCATGGCAGGGGGGAGTGGAGGGGAGTGGAGGAGGAGAGAACATTCCAAAAATGAGCAGGGTGAGGACAATGATACTGCACAAGTGAACAACCCCCCCTTTTTTTTTTTTTTTTTTAAACAGAGGCAGTTTATCCATATTGTTTGAATGTTACACCACAAGCGTAATCATGATTTCGGTTATGAATGAGCTGTGTCCGTTTGCACTGAAGAGCAGTTTACATCACTGGGCTGGGATGGCTATGTCAAACATATCCAGAGCCACGAAGACACATTCATTGTAGGGATTTTGTTTGGAAAAAAATCCCCCACAAAAGTAATCGAGATTGTTCTTGACTTCAATATGCCTACACTGACTTCAGCCTTAAAATAGATTTGCCCATTTTAATTTTTTTTTTAAATTAAGCTAAGCATTACAATATATCTCAGTAAGGCCACATGTGGCCTGCACTTGAACATTAATCTTTGCTGTTTTATATACACGGTGTCGTTTCACGTTTTCTTTTGTTGCACATGAGCATCCTCACATTGCACTTGTCTTGTCTTCTAAGAGTTGCGAGTATATCGGAAGTGAAAACACAGGTAACAGAATGATTTGGTGGTCATTGTTGCACAATTATGTGACTGTGCCTGAGATTCATTTGGTGTATTTGCACTCTAGTTCTGTTATGACGTGTGAGAGTTTTGATGCCTGGTGGATGAAAATCGATTCTTGCACAGCCATGGTTCTTCTTGATCACTATTAACAACTTTAGGTAATGATTTTGCTGTATTACATTATTATTTTGCTCTGTATTTAATAACTGAAGGCACATTTCGTCCTCACCTTTTGGATATGCAAAATGCCTTAAGTACCTTTTTACTGCTGTTTTATGTATGCATTCAGACTCCCTCCGCCCAGGAATATCATGTAGCAATTTTTTGTAATGGTGTAAGCTTTTTATGAATAAATATTTTCTATATTTAAGAGTCTGGCTTTATTTATTCAACACAAAAGAACACATGGGTAAAACGTGGTGTCCATTTATTGTCACGAGCATATTCTATTGATTTTTCTGAGCACATTGTAGTCTTCATTTTTTGTTTTATTGACAATTTTCCTTTTGAGTGCTCAATTTTATATTACTAAGCCACTGTTACAATCAGTTTTTTGCAGGATGAATCTGTTGTTCAGCTAATTTAATCAGTTATAAAAAGGGCAAACGAGGTAAAAATCCAACTGATAAATCTGCATCAGACAGTGAATTCTGAAATGTTGACGAAGGCAAGCTGCATAAGAGTAAACGCAAACACGACGGTCGCATGAAGGCGAGAGGAACAGTTTTCTGTCACATGACAGCCCCTGTGAGCCGGCATGTAGGGGAACATGATCAGGATGAGTGACGCAGGTACGAGGTGGCTGGAAGAGGCTCTGCTCCGGCTTTCATGTTGTCCACTCGCACATCAGCAGGTTGTTTCCTCACAGAGGCAGATGAGTTAGTCTTCACAAACAAAATGCATTCCTGCACTGAGGAGGGTTTAAAGAAAAGTGTCCCCGATATCCGAGGTAAAGGAATCATCACACGTATTGCTTCTTCTGAGCCTGTGAGGCCAAGCCTTTAGCTTTCTCTTTCGCTGCCAGCGCTGTCTCTCTCGCACGCTCTGTTGCCGCTTCTGCCAAACTCCTTGACGGTGTTTCACCTGCACAACAAACAATTCAGAATAGAGAATGTACAGTATTAATCAGTTCCAATCAGCTTTACCAGGGGCATTGATCTGGGGAAGACTGGAGGGCCCTTCCCGATTGGTGGAATATTATTCACCATATAGTTGTATTTGTCATTGGGAACATATGGGTCAGCTACAACTGGAAAGGTGGTCTGTGCCCACACTGAGGAGTGTCGATCAGGGGAGAAAATGGGATGCCTTTCTGGGGGGCCCAAACATATTGGGGGCACCTGTGACGACCCCATTTCAGTCAACAAATTACATTATTTTTCCGTCAGTTGAATATAAGCATTTTGCATTCTCTGTTTTTTTTCTTCTTCTGGGAACACTTTTATATTGTACATCAGTGGTCACCAAACACCGGCCTGCAGCTGTACCAAATGATACTGGGCTGCACAGACAGATCAAAAGCAAAAATAATATTAAAACTGTCAAGGAGCATTTACGTCTCAATCGGGAATAAACATCAGAATCCTCTCGGATCCTACCTCAGTAACTCAAAACATGTATTTGTGCTGACGGATATGTGAATGACAAGTGCATGTCGGAGCGTTCACAAATGATGTCCACATTTGATGATGTTGCAAATTGGTGCCCCGAACCGGATGATGGTGCCTGATGGACTGTGTGTTATCTGCGCATTGGGAGTGGCGGCCCTGCCTTAGCTAATTAAAAAAATAAAATACAGAAAAACAAAATGACTTAATATAGAAATGAAGAAAAAAAACAACCTTCTGCAAAGTACTTTTTTTATACGTTGAATGGATCTGTCGAATGAGTTTTACTTTTGGAATTGAAATGCTGAAATTAACTTTTCTGTGGCATTTTAGTTTACTGAGATGCACCCGTGAGTAGGTTGTCAAAATGTACTCAACAAGGACGATTTAAATCCCTCTTATCACAATGCCCCACTTTGGAGCACTGTTACACAACTCAAGCTTTGTGCAAATGTTTTACATGCACTACCGGATAAAACAACACTGTCACTGACAGGAAAGTGACCAAGAGGACTCCATATAATACATTTTGACTTCAGCACTAATAATACCACTTAACTGAAGCGTTCTGAACAAAGATTGTTTTGTGAGCACATTTTTTCTTCATCTTTTCTCAATGAATCACAAACAAGTCGTTGCAGCAGCTCAGTAAATGGGCTTCATACCTTGCATTTTGGCCAGCACGTATTCAAAACCCTTCATGGTCTTGGTAACACTCTTCTTAAACCTTGCAAGACCGAATTCCTGCAAAGAGACAAGTAAACAATGAACTCAGAGCAGACGGTTTCATTTTAGTCTTTCAAATCTTGGCATACACCATCACACAATGTTCTAGAGTCAATAATTACAACTTGTTCTCTTGTGTGCTGCTTGGTATGGTGTGCTTACTAACCTGAACAGCCCTCGAGAGTCCATACACGTTGGAAGAGATCCAAGCCTCTCTATGTATCTCTGTCCAGGTGCCATTCTCAGGGTTAATTCTGTATTCGCAACGCTCTTTCACAGACTGGTAGCAAAGAGGGACAAGCATAGACAACAAGAGGTCATTTACAATGATCATAAAAAAGTCTGGAAACAAAGCTGATGAAGAAAACTGATCCAGGAACCTGCCAAGAGGCTTACAGCATATTTACAGTAGCTACAGCAATTTCTGGCAAGTCCTGGCTTTGTCCTACATCTGATCAAAAATACCCTTATTTGTCATGAAATGTATCCGAACAGCATTGACAGTGCTCCCCTCGATATTTTGCTGCTAGTCATTGGATTAGATTTTTTTTCCCTTAAAATTCGACACACATCATCACAAAATGCTAACTTAAAGAAAAAGGTTTGTTTGTTTTAGATTTGTGCAAATAGTGATCACCGTATGTCTGGTGGCAAGACAATGCTTATCATACAAACAGGGCCCGACCAATATGGATTTTTGGGGGGCAGCTTTACTGATTCCGATATTTGGCAAATTCTGATAACGATTAATCGGCTAATTAATAATATATATATATATATATATTAGGGTGGTCCATTTTGGAAAAGTTTGTCGGATTCGTCGGGCCGGAAATCTTGTCGATACGTGGCAAGACAATGCTTATCATACAAACAGGGCCCGACCAATATGGATTTTTGGGGGGCAGCTTTACTGATTCCGATATTTGGCAAATTCTGATAACGATTAATCGGCTAATTAATAATATATATATATATATATATTAGGGTGGTCCATTTTGGAAAAGTTTGTCGGATTCGTCGGGCCGGGTCGGAAATCTTGTCGATACTATGACACAAGGATGTGTGCAAAATTTTATTCCGATCGGATAATTTTATCCCGTCCCGCAGAGCGACCAAAGTTTCCCCTATGGAAAGAATGTTACGGGGCTGAATGGTAGTACGGTTTCTCCCGTACAGTAAGGATTTTGTTTTGCTCAGTTCGCACTTGCAATAATTCAAAGACGGAAGACAGGAACGCATGTATTGCAAAAAAGGCAACCGTGGTGATCCTGCAACACTGGTGAGATTGTTGGTCCATGTTAACTGGTCCATCTGTCTATCTGTACATCTGTCTACATCGCGCGACTGTCTGGAAGTGATCCGATCCGTTTTGCATTTTTTTCAGGCCGGGAGTGGTGC